GGTTTTTTGACTCTTGTCTCGGGAATTTCCTTTCCATCTTCATAGACGCACCAGCAAGTCTTCGTTCTTTTGTGGCACTGTGTCGTTCTAAATTGCCCGTTTGCTTTGCACTTTGGCACAAACACGGTCGACCGTGTTTTCCTTCTTTGAAGTCTGCGTTCACGAGCTCTCTCGCACTTCGTTTTCCCTTGCGTTCTATCGTTCTCCTCTGGAAAACATAATAATAGCGCAATTGAAGTACATATTGTAAATCGTAGATATAAATTTGTATGCGAAAGAAAAGGGAGCTTCGGCAACCACGACGGCAACGGGCGTGTCGCTAAAACAGATTATCTCACTTAATTTGCCAAATGTTGGCAAATTTTCCTGGATTTGAATTGTTAGGGACTGCGTTCGATCAAATTTGAGAGAACCATTTGTCGTCGCGTGTCCACGACCTGCTGTAAAAACATGGACCTTTATCGATCTATCAGAGAGAACTGGAACGATCGAAATCAACATTCAGTGTTACTGCGCATGCCTTCACGTCCACATTACGACATTCGGGACGCCATTTCGGTACAACTCCGGTTGTGTTGTGAACGTATTTTTTGGAATGTTCCCATGTGTGTTTTTGCTTTTTTGACAGTTTGTGGATGTCCAAACCTTTTGGCTTACTGACAAAAAGGATGTTCAAAGGGTTAAGACGTTTTACTACGAGCTGCGACGATTAGGCGTTGAATTGTTTTGGGAGCACTTATGTAATTAACAAAATCCTTCCATATTGTAACACACACACAAAAATACATCTCTGTCCGCATTCAGTGAAGACTGGTGAGAGCTGAAGAGCTGAAGCAAGGCGTAGAAAATCTTGTTTTCCATAACATCCAGATTAATGCATCGTTTGTAGCTGCCGAAGGGAAAATCCGGATTCTCGTAAAGAAAAGCTAATTCTGGGTCTGACATCTCCACCCAGTACTCCAACTGCGATAGACGTCGACGTACGTTCTCGCCTTCTTTGCTAAAGGTCCGGGTTGTTTTGCAGGGGGAACGTTTAAGAAAATAGTTTTTTCCCCTTCGTCATTGCGTCGGGTTGGCTAAGCTACAAAATAATTTGAAAAAGAGCCCGCAGCCCAGGCTGGGTACTCTTCAAAATTTTATACGAGGAGACTCCGCCCCGAGGTCTAACCCCTTACCCTTCGATATACCTTTTTTGACAGAAAGGGTGCCCCTTTTGTATATCTTTTATTGACAAATTGTGCCCCTTTCAAATATCTTGGTTAGAACGCTGCATCCCTTTTAACTGCGGTTTATGCAAAGTCTCTTAAATGTGAATAAACTGATAAACCAGAAAGTTTTCTTGTCTTTCCGACAGCCATAAAATTCACCTGTTAACTCTTTTAGGTTCTTTTGCAGAACGCAATGACAGATTTCCCTTCTTTTTCATATACTTCAACTAATGAAATCTTAACCCTTTAAAAACGTGAAGCCTGAAAAAAAAAAACCCCTTTCGGGCGGAGCCTCCCTGTATAGGCCATTATAAGGGAGTACCCCCCGTGGGTCCGCAGTAATTGCCCTCGGCTGCTCAGGTGTCCCTGTCACCCATTTTTAGAATGAATTTAAGTACGTTCTAATTGCCTAGTTTAATTTCCCCATTTAGTTGTTTGGTCTCCTTCCCTTCGTACTTTTGCGGCGGAGCTGATAAAAAATTGAATTCAGAACAAATGTCAAGAAGTGTGCGGAAAACCTGTTTTAGACGGGAAAAAAGAGCTAGTTCAAGCCATTGTAGTGGCCAACTTGAATCTTTAAATGTGTACCCCAAAACTAAAGTTGTCTGTACAAACTACCTATTTCATCATCTTCCATGCTGAAAAAACGCCCAATCCTCTGTCCTACTCTTGCATCTGATTGTCGAATAGCAGCATCATGTTGGATTTTAACGTCTACATCCTGAATCTTCCTGCCTTCCCGGTCCACTCTCCAGCACTTTAAGCTTGGTGTCGTGATGCACTGGATTTCCTGATAGCTTCCGTCGGCCTTGCAGGTAGGAGTGAATGGACTTCTCAGTATTGATGACTTAATCTTTTGTAGCTGGCACTTTGTATAATTTGCTATCAATTAAAACGCAGGATCAGTGTTAGTACACTTGAACCTCGAACTGATGCAACCATCTATAATAGCTGGTGACAACCCATCCAAAATACCAGAATCAGTATTTAAAGTCAAAGCACCACCGTTAGAATCAACAAAATAGAAGGATCAGTGTAAATACACTTAAAACTCAAACTGTTGCGACCACCTATGATACCAGGGGACCACGTCACCCATCCAAAATACCAGAATCAGTATTTAAAGTCAAAGTACCACAGTTCGAATCCCTAAAAAGAGACAACTTCCCCATATAAAAGAAACAGGGGCGCGCTTATGGGTGTAGTTTGCATATTTTTGTCTCATTTAGGGAAGTTAGGACTCGAAGCTCCCATCACAGATATCGTTATCGTGAGTAAAACAAATGTATACCAAGAAAAAAAACACCTTCGTGAAGCAGCATTCGATTTCAACATCGTTCGCGCAATTTAAATCACTACAGTTCTTAATTAATGTTCCGGGAATGTTGCCGAGCACAATCTATCAAAGCCAAGCCATGCCCTTTTCAACAAGCCTTTCCATACCTCTCCTCTCTCCTGTGGTCGCTTATGGGAAATTCGATCAGGTATTCTAGGGTTTTAGAATAATTCTTATTCTAAGGACTATGCTAACGAAAATAATTTTATACATCTTCTTGACTGTGTCTTCTCGACTTGAATAATATCCAAAGGACTATGTACAAGCTTAAACCTACACGGTCTTGTTCGTTCACGATTATTTAGTCCTTACCACACGTTTGCCAGCAGCCAGTTTTACAGCAGTATTGCCAACGTTGACAGTGATTGTCTGACAAACAGTCGATTTTGCACCTCCCTTCTAACGGATGAACTGAGGCAGGGCAGTCTCCTATTACATTAAAAGGAAGAGGACATCACTGATGGAATATGTTCGCCATAAGGAGGTTTCGTTATATCGAGGTTCTTTTCCATATATTTTACTATTATTAGGGCAAAGGATATCGCCGTTTGTTATAACAAGGACTTCGTTATAGGAGGTTCGTTATAACGAGGTTCCACCGTATCAGTGGAAAGAAGAGAAGCAAATGTCATCAAAACATCAGATCGGGCCAGAGATACTATTTTCTGGTCTTCATTATTACTGACTGATATGTAGGACTTATTTTGGTAGTCAAAATTTTGCGGAAAGTCGATCCTAAATCAAACGGGCCTGTGAACACGCCGTTGCATGGACACAAGGGAGTTACTTGCGTCATGGGTTCTTTGAATGGCTCTCAGTCTTTTTTAATGGATAAGGATGAGGGAGACAAGACTAACGGCTAAATGTAACCATGGATAGTCAGAAAGTGAGTTGGCCGATTCTTTAGAAAAAGTCGTGGGAACATGCTAGCGGTGATGAAACTTTGTCTCAGTCCACGTGATCGCATCATTGGGCAGTGACATCCCCGCCTCCCACTCAGCACACGCACGTTCCTCCAACTGAGCTAAACGGAAGGCGTTTTTTGACTCGACAGCAGATGGCGGTGGGTTTTTGAACGGAAATAGTATTCATAACTTGAAGTTCTCAGCTTCATAGCTTGACCGATCCGGGGCGAAATACCTGGTCAGTAGTGATATTTCCTTTCAATATTCGTTACGTGAGGTCTTACGTGGTCACCTACTTATCTACGTCAGAAAGACAGGTTCGTTTTATTTTTAAAGTACTGAAAATATGCTTTTGTTGGTTTGCCGAACAACATTCACTCCCGAGCTCTGTCGAAGAATTTCTGTTTTACAACTTTTAATACCAGGCCTGCCATAACACACAGCCGGCAGAATAAGACTGACTTCTGGAGGTTCTTTGGCAGTAATTATCAATTCAGTTTACATGTCTAAGAACTACGAGGTTGGGTTTAGTACCGTAAAAGAATGATTGTGCACATTCCGGCTCGATCGTCCGAAAAACAAACAAAACTGTAAACGGAACCATGGTTGATATGCGCCTTCCTCCAGCGCACAATCCCGCGCCACGTTTTGTGCACAGTGAACCTGAACGATCTTGAAACTTTCTATATCCCATACAATAGTATACAGACGGTGGAGACGGGTCATTGATAGCTCGTGAAAACTTACTAATTGACTTTTGTGCTGAAGCGCTTTAGAAATCAAAGGTGCAATGTTTAACTATGAGGTCACTTAAAAGCCTAGTCCGGAATCATTAACAGCATGAATAAAACAGTTTATTTCATGTATGCATCTAAAAAGAGTTCGAGAGTAAGTTCGTGAAGATTTCATCACCATTTGTCCAAGAATGGCTTGCGCTTAAGCAATATTCCTAATGTGTTAAGTGTAAGTTACTAAATACACTATCTACCTTCTTGATGAGTTTTTTAAGGTGATTATTGAGTACTTCGACCTACATAATGGTGCTGATAAGGGGTGACAGGTCACTAATCAACTGTGCTTTAACTTTCACTTACCAGGCACGAAACAAGAATGAAAACCGATTGAAATACCTTAATAAGGGGTTGTTATCTTTAATTTGATGCACGCCCTTCGATAAATTAATAACAAGAAATATTACACCTATCTCTTAACAGCTTTGAATAAATTGTTCATGGAACTGTTTCGGGATCAATTGGAGAAAGCATACTCCAAAAATTAGACGCTACATTCGGGACAAATATATCTTGCGAACTTCATAATTCCATACATCTGACCACGGTTATGTAATAACTTTGGAGATGTTCCCATTTTCCAACTTGACTAACTATTGTTTTGGGAATGGTATAGTTGCCAAGGTTATTTCCAAACTAGACCCAGATTTGAACCAGGATTAGCCCCAATCTAAAGAAATTCGCTCATTTTTCTTGTGATACAGGGCTGTCCTCGAACAGCACTTAGCTTGATAGTCGTGGCGTGATAACGGAATTAAGTCATATGCAGTCATTTTGAGATTTCTTTCTTTTCGTGAGTGGGCGGCTAAAAATGCATAATCTGTCTTTCTTTTTGAATGAAGTGATTATAAGGTCACTTAAACCTGGTTGACAGCTTTTCAAATCAACTACTTAAACCTCTTCTCTACACTCTACAACCACTTAAAACATAGCATCGGCATCGGTAAAGCTAAAGAATAGAAAACAGTTTGAGTCATCTAGCTTCGAAAAGGAAGATGTTTCCGGTCACGAATTCTAGTTTTTTCAACATTTACTCAAAAAACTCAATGAAAATGACAAGAGAAAGTTAAAATCGTATACCCGAGATAGGAATATGTCTAGCTAATATGATTTTCAGCTAGAGGAATGAACGTTGATAAATCTAGAGTGTCATAATGTAGATCAAGCATATCAAATTCTACTTTTTACAGAACAAGAGAAAAGAGAAACTCTCTCAGCCTGTTAACAAAAGGCAGGAATAGTTTAGCACTGGCATGCTGACGATGCATTCAAGTCGATTAGAGCACTTGAACGGAAAGGACCTTGAAGCTCAGAGCAATCATTCGTCACCAAAAACTCACGAAAGGACTAAAAGCATGAAATAAGTTGTTAAATTGATTCCTTATTTCACTCAGTCGCTTATAAACTTTTTTCGGAGCATAAATAAAAATATTTTGCTCCAAATGTAAAGGTTTACAGAATCAGATAAGCTCCTGAAATAACTGCAATGTCACACTTGAATTTAACTTTTAAGGGTACCCAATCAATTAGAATTCTAGCAAAACCCAATTCTCATTTTGGACATTACTTTAAAATAATTAGCGTCATGCAAAAGCACTGCTTGGGAGTTTTCGTTTGAGTTGACACACGCAACATAGAAATTAATACAGAGACTTCAAAAGTCAGACATTACTGCAGTACATGCATGGCCCAGTTTTTAGTGTCGAAATGTAGCCAAATATTTGTTAGACACAAAAAGTGGGATCATTTTACGTTTCTGGGAAACTGCCCACCTACCCCTTCCCTAAGCCAACATTTTGCCCTAAGAAAGAACTGAGTGTTAATGTTGGTTAACGNTGTTGGTTAACGCAAAATGATCCAAAAAGTGGCCCTCTTCGGGTGGGTTTGTATGTCCCTGGTCTGAATTGTGCAAGACCCGTCATTTTGCGTGATGAGGAAGCTACGTAATTTACTATTCTATTTGAGCTTGGCTTCGTTGATGTTGCAGTTTCAGCTCATCTTTGTTGTCCTTTGTTGTCATTGTTTCTGTTCGAAGCCTAGCCTGTGTACAGACGTCCCCCCTCCCTCAGGGGGAACGTCTGTACACAGGCTGTTCGAAGTCATGTCGCTTGTCAAAATTTTACCCTAACAGGTTGTCATGAAATGGCTTTTACAATGATACAAGGAAGTTACTAGGCAGTCTGCAATAGTGACCAGACTCAAACTTTTAATTTATACAAAAAACGGAAATAAAGCTTTAACGTGAAATCGTCGAACAAACGATCACCACGTTACTGGACAGGTGGATGTTCTACCAACTGGTCCACATAACCACTGACGTTGTTGAGCCTTGTGGCACAATCCTATAGCCTGAAAGCTCAGATAATTTGAGGATTAAAGAGAGGCTTGATAGCCTTTCTTTATTTTAGTTCTCTATATCCATTCCGGTTGGATATTATTGATGGCAATATCGATTCTTGCAGCGAGATCGAGTGAATATTTCACTTTGCTTGCGTGATTATAATCTTACTCTTGAAATTTTATGGTACCTGACTTTCAAGAATGATTTCTTCTGTTGGACCAGCCTCTTGAACAAAATATGGAAGCCTTGACCGCACTTCTCTGGCACTTGAGACGGAAGCAAGGTTATTTTACGTTTCTAAGGAACGTTATGATGTAGTCTTGGTTAAATTACCATCATAAACTCGCCACTTAAAAATTCTTCAATTACTTATACTGGCTTATATGGTTAAGTTTCGTTCAAGAACCAAATCTCTGAGTACCATACCTGAAATATTTTAAACAAAACCCTGCCAAAAATAGACAACGACTATGAATAATTATGCCCCAGCGCAAGCCGTCTCATGTCGACCATCTTAATTAGTTCTGCCTTCTCATGAAAAAATTGAGCAACATTCTCCTTTGTGAAGAACTGTAAGACACACAAGGAATCGACCGTTGATATTATTTGCTTAGAAGAAAATAGCCAAACTATTATAACAAGCTACTTACTTGGTGAAACATTGTTTTTGGCTCGTCGATCCTTGCTATTAGATCAGGGCTATTAGAAGACAAAACATTTTAGAATCCACGAACGTCATCTCGTAAAAATCGAAACTTCGCAATTAGGTCATCAGACGGCTTCACCTAACACGTCAAATGTATCCATTTCTTTCAATATTAACCCTGTACTACTTTTCCATTTACAGAAATTTCACTGTTGTGCCCCTGTTGCGTATATTGTTTGTGTAATACACAGAAACAACATCAGGTTTTTAAAAATATTTTTCAACAACTTTCAATATTGACGGGGGTTCCTAGGCTTTGATTGTACAAAGCGCAACTGGTATCATAAGCCCGAGCTATTGACGCGAGTAGGAAAAATCAGTCCACTGAAAGTAATTCATATTAGAAAAAAACAGAAAATGATGTTACTACAAATACGTTTAAAAATGCTAATGCATCTAAGTATATTTAAAGCAACTCGATCGGTATTGTGGCAATATTAGTCAATCTGATTCATTCAAATATGAACAAACCGAACGCTTTCGTTGACACATTATCAATAATCATCTCTCATCGATTTGCCAGCTCAGTTTTGTCCACATGTTTACTAAGATTTCGTTTTTTAAGAACTCCAGTGATCCTTTCAGTGTACTAGTTTCCAGGCTTCACCCGCGGGTAATATTTTAAGTGCGTCTGAATATCGAAATGTAATGAAAGGCGAAAGGAGAAATTTGGTATATAATTGCCAACTG